AGGTGCAAGCTTTGCGAATGTGAGGGGGCGGTGTCCTGAAAACAAGCTTCTTATCCAACAGTTTGCCACCGAGATTCGCCCAGAGGACGGTGCGTGGTTGTTTAAAAGGGAGGAAGAGGTTCGCGACGTAAGATGGCCATCAATCAAGCAACAGACACCGGAAGCAACAGGAGATAGCAGGAACAGCTCGGCAATTGATTCACTTCAAAAGTCAACCATTTTTTGTCGTCAGGGTTGGTGAAATCAAGCCCTACTGCAGTTCAAGATTTACCTGGCCTGGGTGCGTGTTTCTGCCGAAAAGAGGCCAAGAAGTACCAAAGGCCAATGCGGGGTTTCAAGTGCCAGTGACCGCTAGCTAGCACAGCCCCTTTGACACGTGGTAGAGGCTTGTCCATCTCATGCACATCGTAAGCGGTTCTGAACCACCGGTTGCTTCCCCACCCATGGCTGGCCAGTAGCAAGGTTGCAGCCGCACTTGGTTGTGGAACCTGCTGAACTGCCCAGTCATATCTTAAGCTAGGAACGGTGTCAAGATGACACATTGTTGTCACCATGGCAATTCCTCACCAAAAATCTCTCGTGCTGTCCGGGGGGCGGTTGTTGTTATTAGCATTGAATCTTCTACATGCAGCAACCGTCCCTTGCTCTTGGTCTCCAAGCCCCCCAGAACTGACTCCCACGTCGGCCATTTTTATTCTCAGATGCGCCAGCTTCCTCCAGTGTTTTCTCAAAGCAGCGGAGCATCTCCACACTTTCCCCCTCTAACCATCTCCCAGCCGCCCGCGATGCCGCCATACCGCCGATGCCACCAGGCTCTCGCGGATCATGGGTCCGGGCCGCGCGAAGGAGCTGCATTTCACCGGACGCTTCTTGAAAGCCAAGGAGCCGAAGACCGTGTAACACCCAGAGGTGGAGCTGGGCCCATGCTTCGGCACCCAAACCCCTCAGAAGGTATTTGGAGCCTCTAAACCCACCCCAGGTCCCACCTTCTTAGAAGGTACGACTGGAGCCCTATAGGGACAAAGAACACGCCAAACCCTTGGGGAGCCGGAGCATTCTGAGCCTCGAACGGTCCACAGGGGTGAATGGTGGTCGCAGGACGAAGGGGACTTCCCAGGTGGTGGGACGGCACCGATGAGGGGATCACACCTTGGGACCTTAAAGCCGCCTTCTCCTTCACCCCAAAAGTGGACATATACACAGTCTTTTAGAGACAGGTGTTAGCCATAACCGCTTTTGGAGCAGGCGCTCGCCCCATTGAATAATCATGCGATCTGTGAACTCTTCGGTCCTCTTGCTACAGAGGCTGGGGGAAATTGTGTCGTTCGAAGCTGATCGACACATTGCCGCCTCCACAGACATCATCAAAGACAGAAGCAGAACTCGGCGCATTTGCAAAAGGGTAAGTTGAAGAAAAGAAGGCACCACATAGATCATATAGTATACCTCTACCCTCTCTCGACGTTCTTTTTCCTGGGCTCTTCCCAAAGCCAAACATTTTCGTTCCGACCAACAATACTTGTTCACAAGAATTTCCTATGGTCATTGTTGTGGGGGGGACCCATGAATGTACTGCCCAGCAAGCAGCTTTTCTCACATATCTCATCGCTTCACATCCGCTGACCACGCCTTTCGAATTTCAACCAGGTATTTGAAAATGGTTGTCCTTGCAACACTGCTGGGATGGGACGTTCTGGAAATTCTAGAAGAAATACCAATGTAATCCTCTAGGATCGGGGTTGAAAAGGCTCCTGGGCTCAAAGCCCAAGCATTGCCTTCTTCCAGGCTCAATCGCAAGTCCTCATGCCAATGGGCACTGTAGTGAAGCTTTGGAACCAACTTGAACAAAGTCCACCCAGCCCTGTGCCAGTAAGCAGCGAGCTCAACGTACGCACGTAGAAAGGCTCCAAGATAGCACTTTCCAAGTCTTTGCTTGGTTTGATTCCAGAAAAGTCTGTCATCTGAGGAGTATGCCAAACGACAAAATTCATCGACCCCTTCCAAGCCCTCCAGCGCAGTACACAAGACCCACGTTCTCTCAAACGGAACCGTTGATATGAAGTCAATGAGCCATTGTACCAGCAAGGTTGTATCAGCTGCTTTGCAGGTCATATCTGGAAATGACCGGTTCTGCTGCCATCCAAGATTCTCCACCGTAAACTCTTTGAGATCACGGACGTGCGATCCTTTTGCAGTCAACCACGATTGAAAATGGCTATATGCTTCCTCCAATCGTGCCTCTTTGCTGCTTGATGCGTCCCACGCAGACTCAAACATATCCAGAGGTCCACACATCATGCAAACTACCGAAGCCACAAAGGTCCGAACGGCCCCATGCGGGAGCATGTGCATCAAATCCCACCGGATAAATCTAGCATCGAGTGCTCCTGGCATGATAGCCAACGGTGGCATTCGATGGCGGTTCCACGGTACTGCCTGGAAAAGCGTTTTACGCCAAAGTGCATCAATTGACAGATCTTCAAATGGAACACTGTAAGTGTTGGCAAGGCAGTGAGGACAAATCTCAAGGTGTAAATGCCCACGCTCAGATCGATACACCTTCGTTTGAAAGGGATGATCGCCGGCCACACCAAGGAATACCAGGTAGAACGTGCGCTCTTCCTTGCCTGGCACACCATTGTAAGCTTTGTAGGCAGACTTTGCAAATTCCTTGAACAGTCTGTCCAACACAAAATTTCCATGCGCAGCGCCCTTGTTGTACTTTGAATACAGCTTGTGCGGGCAGGAAGTATACATGAACATCCTTTGCAAGGAATTTTTGCCAACGCGTAGGAGGCTCCCCCATGAAATTTGCATGATGGGCTTCCTGCGGTGTCCAACCCCTTCGTCACCATGCAGCATGCAAGGGATGCAATGTGCCAAGTCATTGGCATGCTCCTCAAACACTTTGTTCCATGGTTCTAAACACCTCCATTTCTCCCAGAAAGTTTCCAGGGCAGCAGTCCAATCCTCTTCGTTGGAAATAGGATGGTTCAGAAGCTTTTCTGAAAACTGTTCTGACTGGAGGATAAATTGGGCCATGTCATAAATGTCAATCACGGGGTGGTCCACTTTCTTCCTCCTCTTCTTTCTGAAGGGAAGCTTAGCACTCACAGGATGTACCTGCAGGGTTTTTTTGGCATGGGAGAACCCACTAAATTAGTGATTTTAGTGCGGGGCTATCCACCATCATCCCAACAAACTTAAGATACTGCTAAATGCAGCCTGATGACATTTCGCAGCCAACGCACCGGTACATTCAACATCAAGCCGCGCTTCTTCAAGAGAGACGCGAAAGCACGGCCGCGGTTACCCTCTCGTTGGTCAGCTAAAGATCCTAATTCTTGCAGAACAACCTTTTGCTTGCTCCACATGGCCAGATGGCCAGCGCCCTTCGCTTGTTGGATGGCCGCTTCAGCTGAGTGAGCCTCAACTGTTTTGATAGATGATTACAAATGGTCAAACCGTTTTTATAGATGATGACAAATGGACAATTAAGGCATTTAGTTGGATATATATATATATAGGTGCATGGATCGTTAAAAGCACCTAAAAAAGTGTTTGATTCAGCCAGGGTACAACGTATGTTTTCAAGACATCTGACACCACATCTGGTTCAGAAGCATTGGAAGCACCTGCGGTGGGAGGTGTATGGCTGTCTACAGGCCTCCCTCTCTCTCTCTATATATATTTCTACTGCATATGCTATCTGAACATGTTAAGGATTTGGACGAGTCAATGACCCCAAAGGGAAATCATTTGGATCAAAAACAATACAACCACAGTCCGGTCCAAAGTGTTTTAACTTCACCGACGCAGTACTATTTTGACCTCACATGTGCTCTTTGTATGCTATATCAACTTGAAGGCTTCCAAAAGAAGCCCGTGCTTAAAGCCCCAGCAAACACAGCCTTGGCAAACCAGGTGGGAAAACACATGACAACATTTTAGCGCAACTGCATTACACATCCGAGCAATGCCGTGCTGTGTTGACCCGCTGAAAGGCTGGGCACGGGCGGGATCACTCTTTGCAGCGTCAAAACATATTCAAAAGCTCCTCACTCCGCAGCTTTGGCTTTTCCTTTCGCTTTGGGAGGGGGCTTGACAAAGAATGTCCTTGGCTGGTGTGCACCCCAAAAGAAAAACGGCACATGGTGGAATCATGAGCTGTATTCTGCGTGTATAGCAACAACAAAGGGTTTCTGAATCTACACAAGCAAAGCAGACCCACCATAGATGGTATACCATGCGCATCTCTTCTATATGCTTCCAAGGTTCTTGACCTGCGCATGTTGGTTGCTGAAGGCAATACACCTTGCGCAGGTTTTGGAGTTTCGGACTGTGCAATGTAAGGAACAGTCATCATCAAATATATGAGGTGGAGACTTGACCCGGATCTTCTCGCAGGTTTCCGCGTAGGCTGACTTCCTAAGAGTTCACAATATCACGATAGTGAACAACAGGATCATTGGCCAACAATTTGAGCTTTGTTTGCAGCCCTCTTGGTGCATTGAAGTTTCTGGCGGCTCTCCTTCCCCTGCTCAATCGTATTGAGCGTTTGGTAGAGCCCATTGAGCTCACCTAGGCGATGCAGTGGGATCGTAGGGGCAACCAGCTGGCGCCACACTAACAAACTTGCACTTGTTTTTAGCGTAGCAGGGCTCATGTTGGAATCCATGGTTGATGTCAACAGCACTGTTTGACTCTTTTGTTGTTCTTCACGCTGCGCTGCAGCATTGAAAGAAATCATTGCGCAACATGTCTCCACCAAAAGTCGGGGGGAAGATAAAGACATAACAAGCAAATACTATCAAAACAAACAGTGTCGAAAGACGATAAACATCTTGAACTGTAGAAAGAAGGAATGACATGACAAGTACTGCAAAGAATCACGAACTGAAAAACAAAAGACAAACAAACAAATAAATAAAAGACACAAACAAACATATAGAAGGGAGGAAAGGAAGGAAGAAAGATCATCACATCCAGCTGGTCATTCGTCAAGAGTCTTCCCACGTCGTCCAAAAGCTGAAAGTCTTTCCTTGTAGGTTGCACAAGGATGATCTCAAGGTATATATAAGACTAAAAGCAACCAGTTGATTGAACCCACGAAAGCGTGACAGAAATACCGCATGTATATATAATCGGTGGCAGCTGAGAATCTCATATCCTTGGGCCTTGTCCTTCTCCAAGCGTTCCCGGGTGCTCTTCAAGAGCGCTTTGCGGCTCAAACATGCCTTTTTGTATTGACCAACGTACTCAACCACTGTCTCATCCCCCTCTACAACTGGGAATTCTACCATCTTGGTTTTAGGTTTGGGATCGTCTTTCTTCTCTTCTTCCTCATCGAGTGCATCACCCAATGAGAAGTCCGTATCAAAGATACCCCAGTCTTTCATCTCTTGCTCCAACTCCTTGAGTTTCTCATCCCCAGCCTCTACATCATCTCGAACCTGAACCAAGTACTTCACGGACTTGTCATCATAGATGCACTTCCTGGAAAGGAGAGCGATAGGGGTTGAAGAGAAATACGAATTAAGGTTATTAAACTGTAAAGCAACCAGCGAAAGAGCGGTCTTTGTAAGTTTGCGCCGGGTGCAGTATCGAACCGCACCTTCCACTTTGCTCCTTAGCTGCTATTGGAGGATTGTCAAAGGTGCAATGGTTTAAAGTGTACAGTCTACAGGGACCACTACCAAACCAAAACCCTGAACATGGAGTGTGGGAGGTGTATGCGGTTTGTACCGGGTTTCTCTGGCCAGCCCAACGCCCTCATCTCTGCTTCCGTAAGCCATGAATACCCCTGGAGATTCTTCCGCCAGGCTTTGGCAGAATTCCGCAAAGTGACGAGCGCCTGGAGCTTGGCCTCCGAAAACGACACGCGTTGGGGACGAGGTTTCCCTTTGGGCAAAAGCAGCGGGTGAAAACAGGGTGGAGGTTTGCTCTGCAGAACACCCTGTAAACAAATGGAGTGCCACCATTTTGCTTTGCAGAATCCCCCATAAACAAATGGACTGCCACCAACACTTTCAAGAGATTGATGGTTTAGATGGCCTTGTTATTGGCAAAGTCCTCTGTGGGGCTGTAACAGCGGCAAACAAAATCACGAAGAAGTTTGTCACGTTTCGATCCACCTGCGCGCATGAGGATCAGGTGTTGGGACAGTACCATCCACTGCATGTGGGACATGTATACATGCATGCAAGCTTAAATAAGTTTCCAACCTGCATGCCACATGTCATACAGATCTTTGCCGCACGTTTCCTCTTTCTTGCAGAGGCGGTATAGGAACTGCCAAGCAGCAGGATGAGTGGACGATGTGAATCGCATGTCAGTTGATGGAATCACGACCTGGCTCCCAGGTTCAGTCACAGGAGGGGTTGCCACACTGGTTCCAGGTGTAGTCTCAGTTGCCGTTCCTTGGCTTGGGGATGGGGTTGCAGTTTTGGCAGTCACTGGAGCTGGTTGGGTCGGAGACGCCAAAGTGTTGGCAGAGGTCGCAAGGGCTCGTTGCTTTTGAGCAGTTTGCTCTAGCTTTTGCTTTGCTAGCTCCTTCAAATGATTGGACAATGCAGTTGCGGACAATGCAGGTGCTGGGGTGCTCGGGGGTGCTGGGGTGCTCGGGGGTAGATTGGCCCTCTTAGCCTCTTCGTCCAGTTTCCGCTGCATTTCAGCAGACTTCTCCCTCAAGTCATCGAGCAAAGATTGCTCGTCAGCAACAAGTTGCATTCTCTCAGATAGCTGCATACTCAAGTCTGCTAGTTTGGTTTCCTGCATAAGCTTTGCTTCACGGATACTTTCCTCTAAGTCCCTCATGCGTGCAATCCGTTTCAGTTCAAGTTCATCTTCCAAGTCCTGTTCTGCCTTTCGTTTCTTTGCCATGAAATCTTGTTGAAACTTATCCTCCAATTGTTTCATATGGCACTCCAAGCGGTTCCTCATTTCCAGTTCCAAATCCATTGCCACTTCGGGCTCAGGTGGTGGAACTGGAGCTGTGGCAGGCGGCTCCTTTGGGTGATCAGGAGTGGGCTCACCAGTGTCCTGTGGGGGCACAAGTTCAGCAGGATGGGTGTCCTGTGGGGGCACAAGTTCAGCAGGATGGCCACCAATGATGTCACCACCAGCTGAACCACTGGAATAGCCTAGCAGGGCCCACTAGAAAAAGCTAAAACATTTGGCTCAAGATGGAAAGACATTTGATGACATTTGGGGCAACTCATGAAGGCCTCTCTTCAGTTGATTGGCCGCTCGAAGGATCTCTGATTTTAGCATCAAACTTTCTGGTGAATCACCCAGCCCATGGACAAGTGCACCGGTTTCTGGGCTAAGATGAAGGTCAAGTTCCACGTGTTCATCAGTCTCGTTCTTCACCTGAAAAATACACGAACAAGAGTCGGGATTGAATGCACAATGCATGCAGGTAAGATCAGGTATGCACCTCGACATGTGTAGCACTGCGTGCCCACTAAATGCATATGAGTCTCTCTAGACTTGGTAGGGGTGGACGGTTGCGGCTCCCCATTCAAGTAGACCACACCAGCCATTAGGGAAGTGGCTGTATGTGTGCGGCCCAGCCCCGCAGATGCCATGTCAAAATTCTAGCACTCAGTGAACCCCAAAAATGGCTGCCGAGTGGATGCATCTATAGAAGATCATGAGGTTTCATACTGGTTGAGGCTGCAAAATCTTTATACAGTGGGTTCAGAGTATGGCACAAACCCAAAAATGACTTTTACAAGGGGTTTATTTTTACAACCCCTTGCAGATTCATAATCTACTCTGACACTGCTGTACATATTTTTGCTTCCCCTTCAGCAACGCCATGATGTTCCCCTTTCTCTCCCCCTCTCTCTCTGTCTCCCCTGCACACGGTCTCCAAGTGAACCGTCCCAGGCTGGTGGAAAGGCACCTTTTGACGGCTGGCTCGATGAAGCACTTTGTGAGGAAGGCCCGGTGGAACCTGGCAGTCGGCAGGTGATCAATCAAATCGCACTTACCACAATACCCTTGAAAGAGTGTATGCATTTCCCCGTCAAGAAAGCTGTATAGCAGCATCATCTCAAATAAAAACAAAGGTTCATGAAGTCCAATACCCCGAGGAGCCCTCAGTGGATAATTCTATGTTCGCTGCCAACCATATAATGTGGATTGGTCAAACGCATACACATCGCAAATCTCTGAAGCCTTAGGGGGTGGTAGAGCATGGTGTATTCTCCGGCGGTGAAGGTTGATAAACAAAGCTTTGATGGAAGTAACATGGAAGTGTTGACCATCACTGAAAAAACTCGATGTAAATGTGGTTCAGCACAAGCGTCGGTGGAACCGGTCTGTCCAAGGTGAATCTCAGGAAGCACTCACCAAAAAAAAAACATCGAGGTGTTTGACCTTAGACTACTGCTATATATATAGGCATGACAAACTGTCTGTACCAACACCTTATTGGAACAAGAATTTGCAAGAAAGCCAAAAACAGACTCATGTGGACCCCAAAAAATTCTTGCGCATTCTTGCGCGTTCTTGCGCGAAAAGTTGGCTTTCTTGCGCATATTCTTGGCTTTCTTGCGCATTCTTGCGCGGCCTGTTTTTCTGTTTCGTGATGATTTTTGTGCTTTGATGAGAGCAAGTAACAAAAAACAATAAGGAAGGATCTATACAACTACCATGGGTACTCTTGTCCACCACCTCACCACCTCACCACTTTTTCCCTCTCGAATTTGCTCGAAGCTGGCATGGTCAAAGCCACGCTCTTGCTTTACTTGAATTTGTCAAGGCCAAAAGCATCAATATAGCTTTCTGACATATAGTTCAAATTATTGTTTGTCGCCAAGTATTGCACCACCTCATCCATTTTGGCAGCGGCCCACAGGTCCTCGTTGACCAACGCTTTCACCAACGCCGGCGACGATGCTGCTCCAGCCACCTCAGGGCAAAGCCACGGTGGGGGGGCCCTGTTTACAGAGTCAAGACAAGAAAATGGCTTGTACTTGTACAGTAAGGTGAAGGAGGGAGATCCACTAGGCATAGACCAATCACTGCTTTGAAACCAGTTGGCCTGTGGGTTCCGCAATGGCTGCACCCCTTCAGAGAAGCGAGGAAACACTGAAGCAATGCGCCGTCCAAAGGCTTTTGTGTATACCCTGGGCGGTGTGTTCCACGCACATGGTAACATGCATTGTAAATGTTTATCCATACGATTTTGATCCAAACCAAAAACACTTCTAGGTGAGAGTGGAAAACACAGTTCGATGACACCATAGGGTTGCTGCTGGGGCTCTGTGACTGTTTCAACCGTTGCTTGACACCATGGCTGCGTTTGCGACCGCTCCGATCTGTGTACCTCCTTGCCAGAGGGACCGCACCTTCCCGTTGCTCCTAAAGGGGTGACACGGGGAAGTGAAGGTGACATCACATAAAGTTTGTTTCTACACGCGTTTGACAAATCCATCAGATAACATTGTGTGTTCTTTTGGGGGGCCCTTCAACGCAAACAAGTTTATGGGGCCGGAAGTCCTTTGTTAACTTCCCACGGCTCAGCTGGTGCACGTGCTTGCTGTTGCTCCACAAGAATGTCCTTTTGCAGGACTCTGATCCCCAGTGTCGCATCCACATGCCTTGCCGGTACACCTCAGCATGAACCATCCTAGGAAGCTTCCACCAATGCTGTTCAACATAAGTTGACTGTTGAGGACAGTTGGGACCTTAGAAACCAAAAGTGTCACTATAGACCATTGGTTGTATATATAGGCTTATAGTTTCAAGTTGTGACATGGTTTTAAGGCCTCAACCTCTCTTGAAGTTGTCCAAACCCCACAACCCAAACGTTTCAATTCAGATAGATCAACAGGACAAAAAAAAACAAAGGTGCCCATTATATATGGATTATATACCCATGCACCTTTGTTTTTGTTTCCTGTCAACCTCTCTTGGAATGGCCGATCAGACCTCATCAAATGCCATCAAGGCACCACACAAATATACTTACAAAAGTATCGCCACTGTGGAAACGATCGGAAATGGGAGTCATGAGGCTGCTCGAGGATGAAGGTGTGGCCCAAAGCTACCAGCACCCAGGCAAGCAATATGGCCCTGAACGAAGCCGGCACAATAGAAACAGTGAGATTGGGTGGTGGACCAAGCAGCATTGAAAGACTGAACCAACAACTCACGGGCCCACAAAGGGGCCCACAAAGAAACTTTGTTGTGCAACCAATGAACCGAAATGCTAACACATTTCCCACTTCCACATGACATCGGGAGGTGTCTCCCAGCGGTAGCATCGAGGTCCGTAGTGTGGTTGAAGAAGCAAGAAATCCCATCGAACTGCAAACCGGTGCCAAGACTCCCAAGGAGTTTGGTTCAAGCTTCAACACGGCCAACAAAGCCAACCTATAGATGCGAGGCAGCAGAAAGGAAAATCTATATATATAGGCTATATATATATATATTTTATATATATACCTATAGCATCATAATATAAATGACAAAATACATACACATGAAGCATGAGATCAAGAAACGCCATGCCTGCTGGTTTCAACAGGTCCATGGCACGTCCCCCATACGTCTGGTCTAGTGAAACTCCGCAGAACGTAGCAACCCGAATTTCCTGAGAGACTTGCGCTTCCCCCGCAAAGAACTCAGCAAAGCGCCAGACCTTAGAACAAAAGGTGGAGAGACCACAGGCCAAAAAATACAATAGGGCCAACTGTCCTATAGTTGAACCATTTATTTGTGTTCTCTCAACCTCTATTAGAAGGCACCATGATGACAGATATCACTTATCACCAAAAGACTCTATAGAGGCAAGTGACTCTCGACACATCAATGTTGGCGGTCCAGATCAAAAGCAAAAGGCAAATGACCACATCCTGTGAGCAACATGTCGTTTCGGTGCATGCTGAAATACTCATGAGTGCTAGTTCCAGCTGTTATAGAATGATTCTTTACAAACATGCAAATATTGCCTGACCATTGCTCACAATGCAAAACACGTGAAGTTCCTTGCCTTCGGAACCCTCGCAGTGAACAGGCGCTGAACCAAACAAGGCACATTCCAACATCTCATGGCTGTAACGTAGGAAGCAGGCAGGGGGGGATTGCTAGCCAAAGCTGCCAAGCGAGCTGTTGTGAACAAATCAACCAGGGTAAGATCCACACATGGAGATGGGTGGAGTCACGCAGTCCGAAACTTGCAAGATTTGCCGGGCTTGAGGTAGCGAAGAAGATTTCCCGAACCTCGCGGCATGCGTAGGCCTCAGAGCACAAGGGGCATGTATATGAAGTTCCAACGATCAACTACCATCGTGGCCTTCAGTGCATGGTTGGTTTGACCTCTAATTGCACTCTTGCGCCATGAGACATATCATGTTCAATTAAGCTCTTTGTTTTTTCCACCCCATAAGTTGGTTGCGCCCTGCAAACTGTTTGCAAGGATTAGCCACAAAATATATCACGCTTGGACCGGCAGCTGCTAAAGCGCGTGGGTCAGGATCTCATGGTACATGTTTCACGGCTCACTCACTGCAGGTAGTTTTAATCAAAACTAGCCTTCAACCTATAATAAAAAAAATATATATAGAAGTAAAACCCTGCGCATCCCCTGCAGAAGTCTATGATCGCAAGCGTGAATCACTCCCCGCGCTGCTCGTTGAGCAAAAGATCGACTGCGTCAGCCAACTCAGGCGAAGATCGGTCTTGATCTGGGTGTTCCGATAGCCAGCGGGCCTGGGGGCTTAAGGTGAAAAGGAAGGGGTTGGGAAATCAACTGTGTTCTTACATGTACAGCGCAAACATGCGCAAACATGGCGCAAAATCATGAGAGGACATTGAAGCTTGAGGGGAACAAGTTGTTCAAGTGGCCACCTTTTTGCAGTATAATTACAGCCAAGGGACAACCAGGTTGCATACGCCAATATTGGTGCGAATCCCACCACTTGATTCACCCTCACTTGCAAGCCAAATGTGCTTGTTGTCGGACTTCCGCCTCAATCCACATGAGCCTTTCAGCCAATAGGGCTCCAACCGGTAGGACTGAAAGCTGCCAATCAACCTTATTGGCACACATGCAGTGTACGGAGGCATGTGCGCACATTATGCATATACACCCACAATAGCTCAATATCACATCATCTCATTGTTATAACATAGCAAAATATTGAAACATTTAGTTTAAACCAAATGCAGGGAACTGCTTGAACTCGTCCCGCTTCTCAACAGGGATCCCAATGGGCTCATCCTTCTTTTTGGTTTGTTTGCTCTTGGCCTTAGCCTTTGCCTTGGGTTGGGGGGGTTGATCCACTTGATGGATCTGGAGGTGTTTCTTTTGCCTTGGGGGCTCTTGGCTTGCGCGTTGCTGGTTTTGGCTTTGGTTCTAACAAAGGTTCCGAAGTGTCCCCACCGTTTGCTTTGGTCCTACGCGCTCGTTTACGGACCGGTTCAACCGGTTCTGCCGATGCAGGAGCAACAGGTTCAACAGGTGGTGGCTGGGCTTTCGCTTTGGCCGGTGGCTGGGCTTTCGCTTTGGCTGGTGGCTGGGTTTTTGATTTGGCTGTTCGCGCTCGTTTGGGCACTGGCTCAACAGGCAAGGGCTGTTCGGGTTTTTTTAGGTGGTTCAGGATGAGCCCGGGCAGCCTCCCCACCACTCTCGACGCCATCATCATCACCATCATCATCACCAATTTCATCTTCAGCATCAAAAGCACCCGGGTGTTCATGCTCTTCTTTGCCATTCTTACGGCCTTTCCCCCGGCCTCTCCCACGCCCTCTCCCTCGGCCCTTCTTCCCGCCCTGGCTTGCCCGGAGCTCCCGCTGTGCTGCACGGGAAATAGAATCTTCCTCCGTCAGCTTTTCCAAGGGATCTTCCGGCCTAGAGTTAAACAGTAACCCATGCACCCAAACCATGGTTACAAGACTCCAAATTATACACTTGAGCAGTGTGCCAACAATTCTGCAGACTCACACTCATGCAAACAAGGTTCAAAGGGGCCGCCCCGGAAACCTGCGCTGGCTTGTTTTCCAAAGGGCCCTGCCAGCCACGTTGTACTTCTGTTGTATAAAGATTAATTTCAAAATATTTCAACGCCAAGCCATTGAAACAGTATAATATATATCCGGCCTGCGGTTTGACAGCTACCATTTGGGCAGATGATGATGCAACCTGGAGCTGTAATGCAATCACTGTTGAACAGAACACGCGCTTGCTTTGTTCATGCAAAGTTGATAAAACTGTGCTGCTGGGTAACTTCCACTTCCATTGGTAGGGTTTCTACCGCGTCCATAGAAGAACCTTGTGGTCCAAGCTTCGCGCGCACCTTGGCCTTGAGCAACGCCAACCTTTCCTGCGCCAAGGTGTGGCCCGCATCCACAGCAGTAGATGTAGTAGGGCCTGCGGCATGAGTTGAGATTCAATTACTGTAGCCACACAGGAAAAGCAACTATTATTTGACAGGCACCATGAACATAGAAAAAATAGATTGGAAGGGCCTGTGTTTTGATCTGGCATATCAAGACAGCTCCCAGGTGCGTCTGCACTGTCCTGCTTCACCTTTGTAGGCTCATTGGGGTGAAGGCCAAGTTTATCCGCCAGGGTTCCACCCTCACACACCTCTGTTGGCGCAGGCTCCCCAACAGAAACGTCAGCATTCTGAAGATCCTGCATGAGGTTGCGAGGAGTGGGTGCAGCAGATTCGGAATCAGAGACCATGATTGGGGTTGCCACCCCATTTTTCTGGGCTGCCTCAGCCAGTTCAGCCGCAGCTTCACGATCTCTTTCTTCACGCCACTGGCGTGCTTCAGGTGATAGCTCGGGAGGTAGTTGGCTGTCAGCCACAATTTCATCATACATGATCTGAGGTACCCGGGTGTACTCCAGGAAAGGAAGGCTGGTGTTGGCGTACTCTGGTTCGCAAGAGGCAGGATATACCTCATCGCCAAGAGGATTGGCAGCTATCTCATCCTCCAAAGCTTTGATGCCATCTTGGCTCGTTGCTCGCTCATAGGAATCCATCACCCGAGGTTGAGGTTCAGCTGAAGGTTCAGCAAGCGAGGACTCCACAGCTGGTGGACCAGCAGGCTGCAAGGAAGGTTCAGCAGGACCCGAGGACTCCACCGCTGGAGGCACAGCTGGCGGTTCATTGGGTGGAGGTAGAGGCCCAGCAGGCTCATCGACTTGCTCCTCCAAATTTCCAGCGAACATATCCTCACAACACGTGGCGCAAACATGTTTTAACTCTTAAAGGCATTCATGGCTATACACAACTTATCCGGTTCTGCGTGAGCTGAATTGCACTGAACCAAATAAATGCAAACGTGAATCAGCCAGTCTGTGAAGTGATGGCTGCCTTTGGGTGCTGGATCTGGAACGTAGACGCCTCACGTGATTAGACATCTTCTTCAAGGACCAGGCATCCCCACTGGCCTTCTTGTCAGAGATGTCCACCTGCGCATGTGTACAATAATTAATTTAATGTGCGTATATAAAGCCATATGACTCACATGGATTGCAGCATGTTTGCATACACAATGTGCCTCCCAATGTTCGGCCACATGTTGAATAATCCACTTCATTATTGGCACCAGGACGACATCATTCCAAGTACGATACCCAGGCGCAACAAGACGTAGAGCTTGGAAGTTGGCCTTGCAAGAGTATTCATCAATTGATCCCTCATCACCGGGCCACACGATCATAGTCCCAAGCGAAGACATGCGCTGCTTCAGGTCACAGTCCTCACAGAGAGCCTGAGGCAGTGAGGGCAGCAATCCGACTCTGGGTGAGAGATTTGTGGGTGATGAAGATTGACATATTGCAGCATTTGCTGGTGCAATGGGGTGTGTTGTATTATGTTTGATTCATTAAGTTTTCAAACGGAGTGCTCTTCATCCCTATTTCAGCCAGAGAAGCATAGTAGATCAGCTTGACTGCTTCAAGCTGGGTTGGCGTTAAAGAAGCCAGGCATTCGGGAACACCATTGGCAAAATGATCAATCTTAGGCTTTGAGTTTGAGGATAGCCTTTTCACCATCCTGACCCTCAAGACCCACAGGCGACCTAAACTGACGAGCCAAGATGCTTTCTACAGATTTATACAGGGTGGGTCGTGCATCTCATTCTAGCAAAGCCCTGCACACCCCACTCTGACTCAAATGTTGACTGCAATTTCCTGTGCTCCTGGCTTCTTTGGAAGATTCCCAACCATCGAGCCGCTTGGATTTGTGATAAGATATGCTTTCCAGAACTGTTGAACAAGTGATGACACACATATGTTTCAGGCTCAGGGATGCGCAATCAAAGGAAGCTGTTTTCAGGATGTTTTTTTGTGTTCACATAGTTCGAACCATCTCCAAGCTGATGACTGCTGCACATGCAGCCCTTGATCGAGCACAATGGAGAGATTCAGCGAAAGGACCAGGCCGCTGCACAAGAAACTTGGGAACGACCAAAAATAGTTGGTCCGACAAAAAAACATTGCTTCGACAACTTTTTCTTGTCAAATCAAAGAATACTTGTTCCGACAGGAAAAGGAACTACACACGTGGGTCTAGGTAGTTATAGTTACTATTGATTGTGTGTGTGTCCCTTTTGTCGGCTTCCCACCTTCCGCTGCCCACATTCTTCGATGTCCGACGATGTCCCTCCCAGGAGGCGGAAGCCTGGGGCTTGGTGAACACGGTGGTCCCAGCCGATCAGCTCATGCCCCACTGCTTGAGCTTGGCCAAGGACGGTGACCCCTGACTCGTGGCCAGGGTGGAGACCCAGCACCGCGACCGGGTGGGGTTTCTGGCCGATGTTCTTCCAATTAAGGACAGTATAGCCGGATCTCTCGGAAATGAGGTCCTTGAGATGTCTTGGTGCCTTCCAAGGGGTCGTCACGGGTGGAGGCCATCGCTCTTGGGATGGAGGCCATCACTAGTTGTGTAAGGGGCTAGCTTACACGCGATTTCTTTCTGGCCATGAACCTGCAACAAACAGCTCTTGGAGGGGTGGCTGGCCACTAGATGTTTGGAGACGGTGTGACAGGAGATGGCCAAAATGAATCCGACGATGCTGCAGATGATGAAGCGAACGGTGGATGATGGTTACGGCATGAGCTTCAAGGATGGCTGTGAAAATGAGATGCAGGTGGCCTACAAGTATTACAAAGCCATGGGAAAGGACCTGCAAAGTGTTGTGTGCTTTCGAGTGCAGCAGAGCATAGCTGATGGATAGGTCGGATAGGTTTCACACCCAGAGGCTGCTGCGCAGTCCAAGAATCTAAGAAAGGTAGACTCATGGTCCATGGAACTAAGATTCTCAACAGGCACGTTCTGGGGTAACAAATTGTTTTCATTCAGTCTCCATTCAACCACCCGACTCGTCTTCACAATTCCAGGAGCTTTTTGAGAAGATGAAGGCCTTCATCATGTCCCGCAGCAAGGGTGGACAATCGAAGTTGTGATAGCCCTCGCGTCCGGCACACCTGGCATATGCTGTATGACGAACCTTCGTCATGCAGGCAATGTGGGAGACATCATGGGCGCGCAAAGTGGTTGGCAGAAAAGTGGTTGAGTTGGGGATGCCATGCTGGGTGAGTTGGTGGGTATGTGTGGGGAGCGGGAAGGGGACTCAGACGGGACCAGAACCTTACCCCTTTGATCTTCACACTTCCTGACCCTGCAACTGGAAGGTCACCCATCAGAGTGCCGTTCGGGTCGATCTCCTCGCGCGCGGGTGCGGGGAACAGGCTCGCGAGTTTGGCAACCTCGTGTGCGGAGGGTTGACATGAACGAGGGCAATGAGGGGTTCAGGGCAGTTTGTGGTAGGGGTGGCGGTAGTGGCGGTGTCTCGAAAGCGCTGACCTTGGTGCCATTGGCCATATGAGCAGCTAGGGGAGCCCATTGCGTGTCTTTGCCAAGGCCTTGCAGGCAGCCAGAGCTGCAGCTGCTTGTGCTGTAAAGGCTAGGGCGGTTTGGGGTGATGCACATAGTAGATCGTGGATGGATTCTGTGATTCAACATGTCCAGCCTCACTCTTCGTAATCAGCTCACTCCCATACTGTTTTCAAATTCCTTCATGTGGAAATTGCATGGAAATTCCTGACAGAGAGGGAAAATTGATGCAAATGGAAAGGGAAGGAAAAGGGTGCGGACAAGGGCAAAGCAGCTAAAACCTCCACTTGCCAGGGTGAACTGCACCTGCTGTATCCTGATGTATCCTTCTCAGACTAGGCCGCCATAGCATGCCATAGCTGCCACAGTCTTGAAAAGCAGTGTGCAACATGACATGTTGGTGAGGTGAGCGTGGCAAGAGATGAGCCGCAGAGATAGCACTCAGTGGTTGCGATGGGGAATTCCAACAGCTCCTCAATCAAATTGTTGAAGAAAAGCCCAAGAAAGGAGAACTATCAACTGTTACATGTTCAAAAATCAGAAACCAATCTCCAAGCATGATGTGACAGTTGAGAGCCACGGGCTGAGCCGCGATGTGCATACTCCAAGTTTAGCTTATTCATATATACTATTAATAGTATACTTACGTAATTTAATAACATAGTGCATACCAGGACCCTCCAAGGGGTGTCCAATGAACTACCCCACACTACCTATGGGCTTCCATTGGGCACCCCTTGGAGGGTCCTACCGGGTTCTTCAAAAAAAACAGCCATCAAGTCAGGGATGAACAGATTTCTTGAATCCCCCGTATGCCCCCAGCTCAATGTTGCTGATTG